GCCCCTTCCCAAAATTACTTCAACGGAAGGTTTCCAGATGGATATGCAGAGCAAATCCATCTGGCGGAGTCAGGTTAGTAGTTCCCCAACTCTGGAACAAGCAGTTCTCCTCTGAACCAGAGGAGGGCAGCACTAATACCATCATGTTAAAGGTCCTACTTTGGCTTCTTGAAGTTAGCATATTAAGCAAAAACTAATTAATAATTCCTAACAATATATTCCAAAAGATTTACAGAATACAGGCTCTTTAAGAACCAGTTTATGTTTATGTTTTATATGGAAGAGTTTGTCTCTGCAGTCATCTAGGACTATTCTATCTAATTAATGATAAAAGAGAACTGCTTTACACGTTTACTGTATACATTATGCAGAACTCTAGATTAAATAAAAAAAGCACCGATGTATAAACATGTTTGCACATTTATTAGCAAGGGCATCGTAAAAATCAGGTTTGTCTTCAGTGATTTAAATGCAAAATGGCAAGCATAGAATGATGGAGCTCAGCAGATGGATGGACTGATGGATGGATGGAGTCTTTGCTCTATCATTTTAGGGTCCAAGGTAAAGCCCCTGCAATATAGCCTATTTTCAGCAAATATTTTAATTCCTATAAACCAGCATTAAAAAAATGCAAAACAGTAAAACCTTTTGCTCAGGTTATGATTCAGATAAAGGACAGTTACCTGTACCCGTTTCTTCTTATTAAATGTGAGCCGCCTATTGCTTGCAGTCTTAAAAATGTTGGTAAATTGCTGGTTTATTAGACCTGATTAAGTAGCAACTCCTTTCCTATCATGTTTTAAAAGATGCAGATCCTGCAAATAACTTCAAGAACCTTATATTTAAGGTCAATTAATCAAAGTGATGTATAACGTTCACATGTAAATGTTTATAAAAGTTGGTCTTTTCATTTCCGTCGCTGCTCCTTTTTGTTTTCATCAGTTTCACTCTTAACTTCTCTAAGCGTTTTTATGTGCATTGTGTCCGAAAAGAAAAAGCAGTCAGCTTCGGCGTGTTGGCCATCAGTCAATGCCACAAAAGGCAGAGCTACACAGGCACAATTGTAACTAATGGCTCAACGTTTGCTTTGATTGCACCCTGCAAAGAAAAACAACCCTTGAGGCTTGCTCGGGTGTACAGCGCACTGCGTGAACTGGTCTCAACGCTTGGCTCGCTGTGTTTGATTATTCTGAACGCCGGTGATATTAATATGTTGCCCAAGAGGAAAACAGAAGCCAGACACTCAATTGTGTGTATCAGCAAGTTTGCCCGGGAACTTAGATGCTTTACACACAAGTGTTCAAAAACTGCTCTCAGTAGACAAAGCAAAGAGAGGATTTCCTGCTCTGTGGTTCTTGCCTTGGAGGTTTTTGCCTCCTACTGCAGAGGTTCTGCTTTCATTCATTTCCTTTTTCCACTCATCTTCTTGATTTGCTGCCCCCGACTCATTTTCCCTTATGGTAGAAAACAACTGTCTAGTGGGGAAGTATTTGTTAAAAATTGATTTAGAAAGACAGCCCGGAAAGGAAAGCCACTGCTTAAGAACTTGTGGGGGAAGAAAGGTATTGCTTAGTCAACATGTTGGCATTAAATGAAAGCATGGAGATAAGTCTGTTGTGCAGATACAAATGAGTGTCTCTGACAACCTGTCCAGCTTCTAATGATGCCAGTAAGGCCCAGTAGACTCTCCTCACAGCTAGAGGACTCGTTTTAGACTTCCTGCCAAATCAACAATAATGAGATTGTGTCATCATCGCGGTTGAAGCTGTTGTGGATTAGTTCTTCAACGAACGGTTTCATGTTTCCTCTGCCTGCTTGGCTTGTCGTGGCTCAGTTGGTGTTCATCCAGAACTGACGTCTGCACCACTAATAGCCAGAATGAGCTTTAATCCATCCAATAACCTGTCACTGGTGACTGACAGCTTCCTGGCTGCAGACACATGCTCATACTTAAATATTTACTATATTTCAAACATGCACATAGAAACATGAGCATTGTCTACTGCAACATCTGCTGTGTTACAACTTGTCTTCGTTGTCTTACTTAAGAACTTTCACTAAGACATATGTTAAAAGAGCCCCCACTTTTCCCCAAACTTCTGCTTACTTACAGGCTACCGATGAGGATTCTCCTCCCAACAACTTCCTGACATATACCATCATTTCAGCGTCAGTCTTCCCTGATTACTTCCGTATCATCATGGTGGAGGGCTATGCAGGTACTGTCACCGTTACAAGCTTTTCTTTGGGTCAACCTGGTTTTAATTTCTAACTTCACTTTAAAGGAAAAGCCCATTCAGCAAGGAAAGATCAATGGATCAATATCTATACCTAAAACTAATACGTTCAATGTGATTTCATGAATTTAGCGATATTCAGTAAAAGAAATAAAAATAGTGATAGTAAGTTACTCGCAATCACATAGTCTGGGACAGGGGTCACCAATCTTTTTAAGGCTGAGGGCCACTTCAAGGGTACCGAGACGTAGGAAGGGCGACCATTACTGACCCATGAGCTGTTAGCCTAAACTTTGTTTATCAACATATTTTTATTGTTTCTGTTAATTTCGAAGTTTATTTAGACATTGTCATTTTGAAATCTCTATAAATGATTAAAAAGAAAACAGAGCAACAGAATAAAATAAAATTTCAAA